ATTTGGTGTTCCTATTTATAAAGAGCTAACGAGCTAACGTTTCAATAGATCACATTCCTCAGATACCAGTTGGAGAAGTAGTAAGTCAAGGTCTGAATTTGGTCAGTTGTTCAGCCCAAGTCAGCAACTCAATATAATTGTCAAGGTCTTCGGACTTGGTTGAAGGTCCGGACTGGGTAGTGAGTACATGATTGTATATTGTCCCACTACAGGCCATTTAGTTTTTATACATCATGAGATATCAGTAGATACTTATATTGTAGGAGTATTGCTTTTCCTGGATAATTGGTAACCTGGGAATCCCAACTTTTCTAGGGTAAGTTCTGCCTGTACATCAGTTTTTCCTGTTGTTCCTTCAATGGGCTGAAAGAATACAGCACCACACTTTCTCCCACTGGACACGTACACCACTTAAATTAACACAGGAAGAGAAGTAAGCCAATGTCCACTGAACTATTTGAACTATTTGGAAAGTGTTGCTCATCTACAAGGTGCCACTGTGAATAGTCACAGTGATGTACAGAGAGAGTGAAGTCTTGGTTCTGCTTCTTGATGTGGATGTGGGGAGGAGGCAGCAGAGGGATCTACCTATTACTGAGGTCTCACTTTTCTCATCTCTCTCTCCTTAGCTGGCCATGAAGCACAAATGTTGAGAATCTGCCATCCTGATGACCCTCTTGAAAGCAATGGAAGAGAATGTTCAGCAGTTTTCAGGAGAATTCCGAACCTCCACTTGCTTCTTTTTTCCAATATATGGACATTTAGGGTTTTTGTTTTTCATTTTCAGATGTTAATATGAATTAAAAGGTGTTGTTTTTATACATTTCCCTAATTATCTTGCTAAGAAATGCTACAATAGCATTAGTTTTATTTTGATTTTTTCCCAGAATGTGGGGTGGGGGTGGGGGCGGTGAATTGTTCATGTTTTTCTTTTTAAGATGAATTTTTTTGGTACTTTAAATATAAAATTTGGACCAATTGATAAGCCAAGCTGGGTCTCAACAGGCAACATGTATTTGTTTTTTCTCCCTGTTATTAAGCAAGTTCAATGTGATGATACCAGATGTCATTGTTCCTGGATGAAATAAAAGTCGAGCAGCGAATGGTTTCACTCACTCTCCTAATACTTTTAATTTGAAGAGTAAAATTAAAATTCTGTATCCTGAGACATAGTCTATATTATGGAAAAACACTTGGGTTTATCAGGGGAAATAGCAGTCTTAGATTTTGCTCTTTGCATATTAATCTTTTTCATGAACCATCACCAGCATTCAAAAAAACAAATCAGAATCACAAATAGAAATCTACTTTGTGAGCTGCAGCTTAAATACTTCTGCTACTTCTTTCCAGGCTGATTATTTGGAATTATCATATGAAAGATAAAAATTTGAGAGTAAAGAGCTAAGGAAAAGCCTACTTTAAAAACCTCTAAAAATCTTCATGGGTGTTTCTCTCTTTTATATTGTCCCAAATTACAGTAGCTGATATTGAAAAGAGCTTGGATTTTTATCAAAAATTCATTTGCCCAAATAAAAGTCTATATAAATGATAATGTGAAAAGTTAACTACATTTAAAGTATTTTTTTTTTAACAAAGCCATGCCCATTTTTAAAACATCCTCACTATGTCCTTGGGGAAAGAACCTTTAGTTTGGGGGTTTTTGTTTTTTTGGGTTTTTTTTTTTTGTATCTAGTTTTGGAGGTTCGGATGTTATTATTGCTGTCTATTTATTTAATGTAACTTAACATGAGTGTTTCTTGACAAATTGCATATCATGGCAATTGCAGCTGGCCTAGTCTGACATAAGACAGCATGGTCACCAAGCCGTTAAACTGCTGTCACATTGAATATACTTAGTCACACACCTTTTGATTGCGTATTGCTCAAGGTAATGCAGGGTTTAAAGTCTGGAAGTTTTGCTTCCTGAGCATTAAACCAAAAAAAGCTGTGCTTGTTCCTCATGAGACAAGTTGGTGAGCTGCGCCCCCAGATAACCGCTGTCAGCTCTTCCAGCAGGAATCAAGATGCCTGAGTCTTGGTGGCACCCCATTCTGCCCCTTCGCATCCATTGAGCCAATTGAGTGTATGTGTATAGTAGCCTCTTACCAAGCAGCATAAGATGGCTTTTGGATTACTAATGCTGATTTAAATAGCTTAAGTTCTCCTGATAAAGCATTCCCAGGGAGACAGAAAGTATGACTATTGGAAAATAAAAATCATAGGCAGTACTTGTCAAAAAGGAGATGGGATTTGCTGGAGACAAACTTTTGAATTCTCTTAGAGAGATGATCCAATTCAAGAAAACTATAAAATTTATATAGGAAACTATAGTAAACATCTATAGTTTACTATAATACTTTGTACTTTTAGTGTCTTAAAAGGTTAAAGAAGCAAGGAGCCTGCCATTTGTTGAATACCACTAGAAATATTTATGGTTTCTAAGAAAAACCCCAAATATCATTCTAAATAGCTTTTGTTTGCAGACTTCCGTTCAAAAAACACACGTGCACACCACGCATGCACGCAGTTATATTTTCAACTTCCCAAACTGAATCTGGTTTCAGAGATAGTTGGTATGAATAATTGAAAGAATAAATCTAAAACCCCTGACAATCGGCCAAGTTGAAGAATAAAATTGGTTGCCAGCTATCTAACAACAGTGTTTGGGAAGCTGCTTCTAAAGTGGCAGAGGATGAGGTCATAAGCAGACTGTGAAATCTGAGATTCCTCCTCGCTGGTAAAATTCTGATAGTTATTCTTCATAAATGTAAGTATTCCACATCTTGCCCTCTCTCCTCACTCTGTTGATCCTTTTAGACCTAAGTCTTATTGGAAATAGCCTAATTAGAAAAAAGCCCATCTGACTCTTTATTAGCTTCCTCTCTTCATTAGCTTTTAGGCCATGGTCATGCCCTTGACCTCCCTGTGTCAAAGTCCTACTTGGCCTCTTCCAAACTGGCCACACAGCACTTCCCTTCCAGCCTCTCGTAGAGGAGCCCCGTGACTTCACTACATTTAAAGTTCTTTGCTATCCTTTTGTAGAAGGTGCTGCGATACAAAATATGAATACCGTCTAACCTAGAGAAAATTGCTAAAAATAAATTGTTTGGAACCAGCTCATTTGGTTGAGCTTGCTAGAGGACATTTAATTCATTTGTTTCATTTCTGCACTTCACTTTGAATTGGGGGATACTACATTTCTGTGAAGGACTTCTCAAATTATACTGACAACACAGAAAGAAAAACTCTCCAGTACTACCACTTCTTCCTGGAATGTAGTTATAGTATCTTCACTAGTTATTAGATATCTGTGTACAAGAAGTATGCAGTTATTCAGGTTAATGTTTCATTTTAAAGAATGTATTTGTAAAATGTAACAATTAGTAGTTGACTTTTTTTAAGCTCTGAAAAAAAAATAAGATCATGTGTTAGACTTATAGTGAAATCTGTTTTAATACTCTTGTGGCTAGCAAAGGTTGTGCATTTATGTAAAAATATTTACAGGATTCCCTAAGTAAGGGATATTTAAGATAGGTTTCACTCTTAATTTTCAGAAATGTAACACTGCTAATGTCTGTTGTACAGTTATTAATTCTTCAGAAGTTCCCTAAGATGTCAAACATAATTTTTGTTTTATTCAGAGACAAGTAACACCTGCTCTGTTGATTCACTATTATGGCAAACTCTAATTTTGTCATTAAATATTTTAACTCTGTGGTGAAAGTTTGTTTCTCTCAGTTATTTGTGGAATCTATTAACGCAACCAAACAGATGCACACTGCCACATTTTTATGCTAATGTGAAAATCTCATGTGTCTACAGGAAACCTCAGAACTAGATTTAGCAAGATGATGAAGGTTTACTATATACTTTCTAATGGAAGAACGTGAAATGTTAAAAAGGCTAAAGAGCTAGCCTCAGTTTGGGCAGTGGACATCTAAATCCAGCAAGAGTTGTTTTGGTTTTTGTGTTTTCTTCTCATGGATGAATCAATTAAGCTAATAGTCACCTTTCTGCTGATATTAGTGATGTGCTCAGCTTAAGTACTTATAGTGTGCCCTCATTCAGCAGACTAGTTTCATGCCCTGTTAAATTGGAAAGAAAACTTGATCATTTTACATCCGTTTATTTTTATGGAAAAGCAAATGCATCTCAGTGTGTTGCTCCATGTGCTTTCAAGGAAGCAACTTGAATGACCACCCTAGCAGAACAGCCATTTCCAGGTTGGCATGGAAACGTGGTAAAGCAGGCAGGACTTGGAAGCATTTCCTGGGAGGTCTGCAGGTACAAGGGACAGGTTCCATTCTCCTCTGCTCAGAAAAAAAGGTAGAGAGATAGTCTGGCTAGATGAGGATCTACATTTAAGTTAGGTATGCATTTAAAGACACCAGTTCTTATGAACTAAACTATAAGCCAGTTGCCTTACAAAGATGATCTTTTTTTCTTAATATGCCTGTTAGCAGTTATACCATGACCAACTCTTAAATTTTATGGGAGGATTAATATGAAAATTTTTTTTTTAAATTGATTATGCCTTTTCCCTGTTGTCATTGGGAACATGATTAGGAAACACTATTGATCTGTCACAATCATTATCTGCCTAAATAAGCAGTTCATGAAGGTGGGCAGAAAGAAAAGAGGAAGGGTAGTGGAAAATATCAAACACATTTCAAAGCACAATTCAAATGTCAGAGCAATGATTTCCTACTGGTACTGGTGCATGCCCCTCTCTGGCAGGGGCTAGCTTGGGTCTGTGTGCAACTCACATACACTTGTACAGCTAGCACTGAGAAAAGGGCTGTGCTCTGATCCTAGATAATAAGAGACATGGGAAATGTCACCTTATTTCTCTAAATGTGCTAACAGTCCTCTTCAATGAGATGATGCAATGGAGGGACTTCCTTTTGGTTTACTTTTTAAAAATCCAGAAATTATATCTCAGAGTTCCAACACTGTAACAAATAGTTGAAGTAATCAAATTATAAAGAGAAAAGATTTACTTGGGCTCACAGTTTTTGAGACACCAGTCTATGATCAGGGAAGACCTATTCCTGCTAGGCCTCTGGTGGGGGGATAGCACATGATAGTAGCATACTTCATGGTCAGAAAGTGAAAGGAAGAGACTGGGATCCCACATTCCCCTTAAAAGACATTCCTAATGACCTCCCACTAGTTCCAAATTCTTTAAGGTTCTACCACATCCCAATTGCCTTTATGATGTCTCTTGTCATCTGGTCTTTTGCAAATGGAAAAAAAAAAAATGACTCCTGCAGGTCCAAGACTGTGGGACACCTGTCTTCCCCAGATGCTTACTAGATTTATATAATGAAGGTTGTCGATAAAATTGAATGTGACGTGCATTTAAGCTCTATTATATCTATGGTGCAACCTCCTGCCGTGACCCCACTTTATTCTCCCTTGAGTCTCATCTGGAGCTACCGTATTTCCTGAGTGGTGTTTTCACTTTCCGCCTCCCTCCCTCCCCTGAAGTTTTCTGCCATGAGTTCTTTCTACTGTTGAGTCATGGCTGAGCCCAGAGGTCTTCAGGGCAGTCTGTGCAGTGGCCCATCCCTTGGAGCACCACTGGATGCAGTTCTGTGAAACACAGCTGCTTGCCTCCTCCAGCCCACAGGGACTGTCAGACTACGTGACTCTGAGTTGGTTGCTCATGTGTATTGTCATTTTTCTCACGTTTTGGCCATTAGATATTTTAAATGCTATTGATTCGGGTGGAGGGAAGATTTCTTTTTATAGCACATACATTTTTTCTGTCTTTCATGTGCTCAACCTGCCGAGGGATGCCTAATTCAATGGGGCCTGGCCTCATCACACGTCCAGACTTAGAATTGTCAGGGGTTGGACAGGAATTTCCAGCCCTGAGATCCCAGGTATCTCTTGTCAATATTAGATATGGAGCCTTTGTCCTGTGACATTGTATCACAATTGCTTTGCCACTTTGATCATTTGTCAGAAGACACTGAAAGAAGAAAAATGAGCCCATGAATTCTCTGAGCTTTATCTTGTAGCATTAAAACAGGCTTGGAGGATCCAGGATTTCCAAGGAAAATTCCTGTTGTAGGCTCTGACCGTGTATGCCAAATGATCTGTTTAATTACACACTGCATCTTTGGTGATTGAAGCTTCATGCCTTCTGTTAGTTTTCCTTAAAACCAATCCTTTCTGTTACCATTCAAGGAAGGAAAATATAGTTCCTAATTATTATTGAGCATGTCTTTTTATTCATAGTACTATAACTTCTTTCTGGGAGTTCTGTTTTTCCGACTGGGATTATAATGACCGATATTGGTAGACACTTTTACACTGGTCTGAAACTTTTCAATATTGAAGGAGCCTTGGAATTATAGGAAAAGAAAATGACTGGGGCTTGTGTGTACATTGTGCCCTACCTCAACGTACCTAGGGTGGAAAAACAACACATCGCCTTTTAACTGGAGTGGGTGAGGGTGGGGCGCCCCCTTGTGGTGATTTTCTGGAGTCAGCGTTGCATGGTGGTTGAGAAATAGACCCTGGTCCATCTTCCCTGCTTTGAAATCCTGCCTTGGGCAAGTTACTGACTCTCAGTTTACTTAGCTTTAAAATGGGAGTGATTGCTATAAGAAATGAATGGAACAGTTAATGGAAAGCCTTTAGCCGTATGCCTGCCTTGTCCAGGCTCAAGATACCCCAGCTTGCAGTGGTCTTTTCTATGATAGACTCAAAACAAAGAGGTGAATTTTACAGGCTTGTGGTGCCTGCCAGACCATGGTGCTGGCTGGTAAAATGCTTTCCTTAAATCCTTTCTGGCATAGGGCATATAAGGAAGATGTTCTCCACACCTCCTGGCTATTTTTATGGCCCACGGACATAGATCCCTCAACATGCCATAGATGACAGCTCTCGGAGAAAGAATAGACTTCTAGCCTACAGCACACAGTAGTGACATTATGGAAGACATTTCCAAGAAGGTTAAATTCACAAGAAAGAGAAGTGAGAGCAATTGACCTCGGTATCTGTCATCAATGATGGGAGTGGAAGTGAATGATGCATGGCCTGGGAGGTTATTTGACATATCTTTTGGACAGTAATTCAAATTCCTCTTTAAAGAAGAAGTTCAAGTTGGTTTTGCAGATGTATCAGTATGATTCCAAGGATGTTAAGAAGGTGAGATGCCCCTTCTCAAAAATAAGCCATTCCCAGGTATAATTTGTGTGTATATATGGTACTGGGGATTGAACCCAGGGGCTGAGGATTGAGCCACATCCTCAGCCATTTTTATTTTGAGATCAGGGTCTCAGTAAGTTGCTCAGGCAGGTCTCAAATTTGAAATCCTTCTGTGTCAGCCTCCATAGTAGCTGAGATTATGTACAACGCTATGCCCAGTTCCCAAACGTAATTTGAAAAGAACCACTGACCCCACAAATTGAACTTGGGCCTAGAGTGAAAACACCTCTAAGAAAAAAAAAAAGTAACTAGTGTCTCACTAAAATGTAAATTGGTGATAACACACTTTTTCTGGAGGCATCTTGATATATTCAGCTCAGAGAAGGAAAGATCTCAGAAAAACCATGCTGTCCACATAGTTGTCATGGTGCTGTCATTTGTAAACTCCTGGTAAACCCAATATTATTATTCAGTATTTGTAAAGAACTGTCCAGGCAAGAGGCCTCAAGCTGGTTCTAACAGTGAGCCTGCCTCAACCCAAATCCCAAATTCTGCTTGCTAAATATTGCAGTACAGTTATACTTGTCCGTATGTATTTTTATCAAACTGAGTCATGCAGAAAGCTTTCTGATAAAGTAAATTAATTAGAATCCTTCCAAGCTGAGAGTTTCCTGGCTCCATCACCAGCTTTGTGTACATAGGCAAATTGTATTATTTTTCTGTATCTCGTTCTTTACGTCTCAGAGGAAAATAATCCCCATCCATCCTGTCTCTTGTGAATAAAGGGAGATGTGGAAGCCGACAAAGTCCTGGGAAGGCAAAGCTCTAAGGAGGTGCGGGTTCCTTATCCAAGCTTGGTCTTCCGCTGACCCTATCCAAAGCCCGCGGGATTCCTTTATCTACCACACCTCCCCCTATAGAGGTGAGTTCAACGGCCCCATCCCTGAGCCACTGGACTTTCTTGCCCCCATCAAAGGAAAACGGAATCCCCCCAGACACTGTGACTCTACTTGCCATTATGAAAAGTGGAACAAAGGCAATAGTAGGGGACAGTGTGGTGGAGACAGTGGACCTTAGTGGGAACACCGTGGGGAAACGCTCAGAGCAGACAGGTCACCCCGGCTGCAGCTCACTACACGGCCACTTGTGACTCCTGAGAGTCCTAACATCTTCTTGGAGAAGACTACCTATTGGGGAAGACTTGAAAACAAAAAGAACAAAATTTCAGAAACTGAAATATACGGGGTCAACTAGAGGGGTACCTTGGGACCCACTGGGTTTGGCCATCTTAACATAAGAGTGAGATGGGAAGGGGCACAGAAGAGGCCAAGGTCTTGGAAATTCACTGGGTGAAAGAGAAAGGAGTGCTGAGCCAGGATGATCCAAGGATGTGCTTCCAGCCAGAGGACAGGGAGGGCCCTCGGCAACAGCACTTGCTGGGAGCAGCCTGCTACCCAGGCTGGGGGAGGCCGGCACCCAGCTGAGCCCCTTTAGAGGTGCTCACTAGCCTCACTTGCCCTTAGGAAACAGCAGGACTGGAAGCCTGTTCTGAGGGCTCTTCGGGATTCTCTAGGGTGTGTGAGCCACCTCCCTCATATCAGGCTCCCTCCTGCACTAGCTATGCCAGGAGAGTCTGAGGATACCGCGAGGAGAAAGGAGTGTGGCCCACACTCCATGTGGGCTCCTGCAGCCCCCCACTCTATAGCTCCTCTTATTCACTTCCTGCTCTGAGGGGTCACCAGGGTGGGCAAAAGGCAAAGAGGCAGCTGTTGCCACAGGAGGAGAGGTGAACTCTGATGAATATTATTCTTAAAAAGTGTGGGTCACAGGAAAGGGTAACAGGGGCAAGGACAGAAACCCCTGAAAACCCAGGGCTGGTCTTGCCTATCAATTGAGGACAGCCTTCTAGCAGTACCCTCCGACCTCAGTTCCATAAGCAAACCCATCAAAGATATTGTCCTAAAAAATTTATTATAGGGTTTTGTTTAGTAAAAGAAAGCCTCAAAAGTAGTTCCCAGTTCTGCTTAGACCAAGAGAAATAAGTCCCCTAGAATCAATAAGGACTGTGAATAAGGACCCTCATTACTCACTACCTATAACTGGCCTGGCCACTGTCAGTCCTTACGGCCTGCCAGGCTCTTTTGCTATGGAAACCTTACATACGCTGCTTCTGCTGTCCATGACTTTCTTCCCCAGAGCATCACACGCTGCTCATTTCTCCTCTATCAAGTCTCCGCTTCAATGTGTTCTCAGACAGACCTGCCCTGCCAATCACATCCAAAGCAGATTCCTACAGGCTCCCTCTCACAGCATCCTCTTCCTACCTTACAAAGCGTATGGAAATGTGTGTGCTCTCCATTTGCTTACTTCTTAGTTCTAAGAAGCCAGAGATCATGTCTGTTTTGTTCACCAGGCTGCATCCAGGGCCTGAGATTCAACACACACTTAGGACACTTAGTACATTCTTAGTACGCTGCAAAACTGAATGAGCCTGCCCTCTGCTTAAAGCTCCATGCAGAAGGACATGAATGGAAGTGAGCAGAAAAAAAGTCCAAATGGCTAACCATATGAAAAGATATTCAGCCCCACTCATAGAAAAATCCAAATTTTTAAAAAGACAGCATTCGAAAAAGCTTGATTGCATTTAATAACCAAATACTTGTTGAATGGGAGTATAAATGGAGACCACATCTTAGAAAACAAATTGTCAACATTTTTCAGGATTTCAATTACTTGTACCTCCCATGCCAACTCAGCTCCACCCCAGGACTTCTCTGGGAGTCTCTAGCCACCAGCGATTTAGATGACTCAGCACTGTGTCTCCCACAAAGGATGCTGTTGCTTAGCTCGCTCTCCTTGGAGCAGCTGCACTACAGCCTCTGGAAGGCTGAAAGTATTTTCACAGAACATAAAGTCCCCAAAACAGATAAAATGATTTGTGCTTGTTATTGTCCTGTTGGATATTCCATGTTGGC